TGTCCTTCGAGGCTTCGCAACGCTTGCTTTCACTTGATTTTGCTTTGCCAACCGAGCCTGAGGTGGAGCACTTCCGTGAGAACCCACAGCTGCCAGCTCGCCTCCCATGGCCACCGCGTTTTCCTTTGTTGCCAAGGTCACAGGCGCCCAAACCCATGTCTGAGGCGCCGTCACACAAAGAACCGCTTTTCCTTGAGCTCTGTGCCGGCACGGCCATGCTGTCTCGTTGCTTTCGTGAAGCGGGTGTTCCTGTAATGCCCATTGACCACCAGCATAACCGCCATCACCCGTTGGCACAGGTTTGCAATCTCAGTTTGACGGAAGATTCCACTTGGGAATTTTTGCGCAATTTGGTGCGGGATCATCCCATACTCTTCGTGCACGCTGCCCCGCCTTGTGGCACGCGCTCTGCGGCTCGCAACATCAGGCGAAAGGGGGTGTCTGCGGCACCGCTTCGCTCTCTGGAGCATCCCATGGGTTTGCCTTCGCTTACCGGTGTTGACCTGGACAAGGTCAAGGCTGCCAACCGTATTTACGCAGGCCTTGCTCAATTTCTTGATTTACTTTGCAAGTCCAACATCCCGTGGACTGTTGAGAATCCTGAGTCGAGCATGCTTTGGCAGCTGCCCTGTTTTGCACATTTGGTGAAGAATTTTCCGCAGGTTAATTTTGACATGTGTTGCTATGGTGGAGCATGTTTGACCCACCGCACGCTGCTTGCTTCCTGTGATGCCATTGAACATTTTCGCCAGCGTTGTCCAGGTGGGCACGTCCACCTCCCTTGGACGCTTCAACGCCGTGCCGATGGCACGTCGATGTTTCCTACAGCAATGGAGGCGGCCTACCCCAAGCCGTTTTGCCAACAATTTGTTGCGCTGGTGTTTCGGCATTTAGGTCGCCCCTTGCCTGTGCATCCGACTGCGGTCACTTCTGCCGCTGCTGCCACTTCTTCAGCTCGACAGCCTCGTGGGCGCAAACTGCCTCCTGTTATGCCTGAGTTCAAGCGTGTGCTTGTTTACCAGGTTCACGCTCTTCCGCCTGTTGATGCCAAGCGTTGCATTCTGCAACCCCTGCGAGATGCCCCTTCTGGATCCAAACTTCTTTCTTCGACCTCTTTACTGCTAAGCGGGGGTTTTTCTGGGCCTTCGAAGAAGTGTGTTGATGAGGGCGCACTAGGACCGCTGTCGGCCGGCCCTGGTTCTGGGGATAAGGTGGTGCACTCGACAAGCTCCAGCAGTGATACCAGCAGCTGCGAGTCTGTTCACGGTTCTGACAGTGATGATCCCTGTGCTCGTCCCAGTGTGGCCAGTGTGGCCACCTGCTGTGATGAGCGAGCTTTCGAAGTTCGCCTTGGTGTGTATGCCTCGCCAGAGGAATTCCTTGATGGTTGTAGAGGGGTTACTCATCCTTTCGATCACCTGCATGCGGCCCCAGATCGTCTCAAGCAATGCATCTTTGACATGTTGGTCAATGGGCCGTCCTGGGTTGTGCAACGGAGGGCGGCCCTACTTAAGAAGTGGACATCTTGGGCCCCTGATCTTGAAGGCGAGGAACGTGCTTTGAAGGAGACGCTTGATCCTCAGGTCGCTAAGGTTCTGCAGTTCTGCAGAGAAAAGACTAAAGCTTCTTGAGCGAATTGCCAGCTCCCTCGGTTGGGTCGACATGGGGGTCTTCGACGAACTTCGCAATGGGTTTGATCTGGTTGGCCATCACGAACACACTGGTGTTTTCGCTCACGAGCCCAGGCCTCCTAAGGTATCTGAAGGCGATTTCATGAATGCTACACAATTTCTGCAGCCTGCTTTACTTGGTAAGATCCGCGCCTCTGCATCTGACACTAATGCTCGCGAGCTGTGGGACAAGACCCTTGATGAGGTGGCTGATGGCATTCTTGAGGGACCTCTCTCGGCTGAGGTGTTGTCGGCTCGACACGGGCCGTGCTGGCTCCCTACCCGCCGTTTTGGCGTTGAGCAGACTTCATCTGCCGGCCGTAAGTTTAGACCTGTGGATGATTTCACTGAGAACAAGGTCAATTTGGCTTTCGGCTCTATGGACAAGCTTGATCTCAATGCGCTTGACGAGTTGATTTGCATCTGTAGACTGTGGGTTCGGGCTTTGAACGGGCCGCCTGATTTCACACTCACTCTGTCCACCGGTGTGGTCTTGAGTGGTCGTGTTCACGACAGCTGGAAGAAGGTTGGGTGCGAGCCTCTCCTCACTACCTTGGATTTGCGTGCGGCCTACAAACAATTTGCGGTGTCCGCGAAGTCTCGCGCGTGGGCGATCATCGCACTGCTTGACCCCTCGACTGCGGAGCCTGGACTTTTTGAGTCGAAGGCTCTACCCTTCGGGAGTTCTGCTTCTGTGCTCCACTTCAATCGCCTTGCGCGCCTTTTCTGGCGTATCGGCGTGGAGCTGTTTGTGCCTTGGTGCTTCCCGGTCATGTCTCCGTCGGGTATTGCTGGCAGCACTATGGAGACCATGATTGCCCTGTGTAACCTTTTGGGGTTTAGGTTGGCCTCCGATAAGCTTTCACCCTTTAAAGCCCAGGCCACGATGCTTGGTGTGGAGGTTGACTGCTCTCGTTTTTCTGAAGGCTTGGTTCTCGTTCGGAACAAGCCTGGCCGAGCCGAGGAGCTCATTGCCTCTCTTGACGAAGTTCTTGCGGAAGGTTTGATTTCTCGGAAGAAGTATCTAAGCCTAATGGGTCGCCTGCATTATACTGACTCGTACATCCTTGGTAAGGCTGGACGCCTCTTCATGGCTGAGGTCAGGTCGTGGGCAAAGGCGCATTCTGGTCCTGAATTGAAGCTTGATGATTACGCTCGGCGTTCTCTTGAGCGCTTACTGAACCGACTCCGTTGTTGATGGGGCGAGCGAAGGGAACTCCCACACGGTGGGAGGGGTTCTGATGGTTCAGAATCGGATTCACGCTTACTTTGGTTGTTCTGTTCCGCCTGTTCTGGTTTCGCGCTGGGCCGAATCCATGTGTCACTTCATAGGGCCCATAGAGGCCTATGCCGTTGCCATCGCGAGGAAGGCTTGGCACCAATTCATAGCGGGACACAGATGTATCTTCTATATAGATAATGTGCCAGCGCAAGATGCCTTCATCAAGGGCACCTCTGTCAATCATCACGTCAGGGACATATTGTTGTCTTTTGAGGCGGCCGAAGAGCTATGTGCTTCTTGGTCCTGGTTCGCCCGTGTCGCCAGCCAGAGCAATGTGGCCGATGCTCCTTCGCGTGGTGATTTCACAGCGTTGCTTACTTCGGGCTGTCGTAGGATTAGTCCCTCGTGCCCCCTGTCGGGTTGTGACCTTCGGGATCTCTTGGCTCCCGCTAAGATTTCGAATAAGGGGCGAAGGGGGCGGTCGCCAGACAGTGTATCGCCCCATGCGAAAATGAAGGACTGTGCGATAGCATCTTGTGCCCCATTATCGGAATCATATTCTTGCTTGATTGGCTTGGGATTGGAGTCATTTGCAAATAGACTTGGAGTCCTTTTCTATGAAATATGTTTGAAAATCCGTTTATGAAAAGGATCTCAGCAGACAAGCGAGCGCCGTCTGCGATCCCTTTTTCATAAAAGGACCGCGAGCTTGAAGCGAGCATTTTCAAACTTTGTTTCAAAAACTTGGCATCCTTGTTTTTGCACTTGTGCTGATTTTACAGTGCCTGTCAGTGCATTGCCTTGATTGGTCTTGAATACGCAACCTTTGTATGCAGCTCAGTGCTCAAGCTGAGCATTGGAAAAACTTTCTGCCCGCCCTCCACTCCCTGTGTGCTGCTCCCGCTCTTTTGCCGGAGCTTGCAGCCTTCTTCCTTTGCCGTGCGTGTTCGGTGTCGAGCTCTCTTGTGAGCTCCACTTCCCTTCTGTGCCGCTCTCGCTTTGTGCTGCCGGTGTTGAGCTCTCTTGTGAGTTCCACCTGGCCTGCCGTAGGTGTAGCTGCGTAGCTCAAGCCGTAGGCTGTGCCAAGTACGCTGTGCTCAGCTGCTTGTGCTCTTCAGGTCGCTTGTCTCCTTCTGCTTATGCAGATTGTTTCACATGTGGTAGTCCGTGACTGGCGTGCGTACTACTGCACTGTTCCCACCCTCCTCACCCACGCCCCCGAAGGGGGCGGTCGCCAGACAGTGTATCGCCCCATGCGAAAATGAAGGACTGGTGCGATTGCATCTTATGCCCCATTATCGGAATCATATTCTTGCTTGATTGGCTTGGGATTGGAGTCATTTGCAAATAGACTTGGAGTCCTTTTCTATGAAATATGTTTGAAAATCCGTTTATGAAAAAATTGCATTTTGACTCAGTATGTTGGTGCTTTTCATGTGCCCACACGAAAAGATAGCATATTTTGGACCCCCTCTACATGCTAACTGCGGTTCTTTTTTTGTCTAATTTCATCCGGGATCCGTAACAGCATCATATGCTATCTGCGCTCCCAAAAAACGCATATGCTATCTGGTGTTCCTGAACAGTGCCGAAGCATGCTGCAAGATTTCGTTCGCCGAAATTGGACACGGGATGTCTGTTGCAACTATCAAGATCGGGATCCCATGCCGCCGTGTGAGCTGCAGCTAAAACAGCATCAACAGGTGTTTTCGAGGTTGGGTCTTCCAAGTTAGGTTGCAATTCATGTCAGCTGCTGGTGTTGGTGTACTTCAGTAGCCGTTGTTTTGCGACTGGAATTATGTTCCCATTACAGCGCGCTGCTTGTTTGTGCTGCGCTACCAAAATGTACCGCCTACATCGCGTCTGTTCCAAGTTCTCCAGCTCTCGACCCAAAGTTCCAGACCCACAAATTGGCCGAATGTGGCCGCATTACCGCAGATATTCCAGGCTTTAGGGGTTGATTGGAGACTCATGTGAAACTGTTGTACTTAAGCTGGTGCACCACAAAGGATTGACCGAATAAGCCGACAAAGCAAGCGAGGTCATGTCGCATACAGAGTTGCAAGACCCACCCAATGAGCCATGGCCGCGTGCCGCTTCCCGGCATCATGGCAATGGAGGACTGCATGTAATCCAAGGCGTGTGCGAGCACTGTTGATCGCATCATGTGGATTCGCTGCAGCGAATGGCGCTCACAGCAATGGGCGGCCAACTTCGAATTGGATGCTCCTGCTGCTGGAGCGTTTATACCAGATGATGCGAGATTGGAAGTCGTATTTCATGTGTACTTGCGGTAAAGAAAGTGACGAGACTAGACCGACAGGGCTGGTTTGGGTTTAGTATGTTGATTGTACGACAGTGCGAAGTGCCCTAGACATTCAAGCGTTCGCACATCCAAATCCTACGAGACGACAACTCAAAGCGCGCGGTGCCGAAGAACTGAGGAAGCCGTCGCACCGTAAGCAACCGGCGCCTGACCTTCGATGACTATTGCTCATGCCACGAGCATGTCCTTGCAGGAAGCACCCGGAGCGCATGTAAGCACCGTATAGTCGGTGAATCATTGTTTTGCAACACATGTGCTCTTTTAGCCACATTGGCTGTTTATCAGTTCTTCGGGTTTTTGCGTTCCTTGGATCAATGCGTGTTGTCGTTACTCCGCCATGAGTGCCTCAGGGCCTCTCTGTTGCAGCTTTTGTCGGCGCGCTGGAAACAGGCACTACTCAAACGGTGTCAGTAACGCTGCCTTCAAGACGCTTGCCGTTTAGCGAAAACAGTGCCAGCAAGTTGGAACAGTGCTTTTTAACCTGCATCTGCCGGCATGACTAGCCGTGAGTAGCCTGCACGGTGCCGCCGTGGCAAGCAGCGGAAGGAAATCGAGGATTCCATCTTGGAGTTCTGCGGCGAAGGCGCCAACCGAAGTAATGGCTGCAGCACCTTTTTACAATCAGGGCCCGCTCTCCGTTTCCTCGCACGGTTGTGGTCCATTACACATCACAATCTCTCGCGGCGCAGCGATGTTGCCTGTTTAAAGTGAATGTTTTGCCGGACACAAACATCTACATTTGTGTGATGTGGTCGTGTGGCATGACTAGACATGCGTGCAGCTTTGCAGCAAGCCATCTCATGAACGCCCGGCTCACGTTAGCGTCGCTGCATGTTCAGATGTATTCCCGAGTGGAAGGAAGCTCGCGTCCGTGCTGGTTTCAGCACGTGTTTTCAAATTCGAAATGACACCACGCCCTGTGCTGGACGATTTTGAACCGCGTGGCGATTCCAGCAAACGCCGATTGGTCGCGGTCGGCGCTTTGCAACTCTGACTCTGCCGCAGGTCGTTGAAGTGTGCAGCGCCATGATCAACAACCGTGACAGCGCGTGGACGGGGCAGCTTCGACCATGTCGGTGATTCGCCTGAAGCGTGCGTCGCGTCTCCAAGCCAGCTTCTGCCGCTTGCGTTCCTCACAGCGTACAACTTGCGCTCATTCTTTCTGCCATCATCTGCCATCCAACATCTGGCGTCTGATAGCAGTGCCAAAAGCTGCGCTGGTGCACATTTCATGTTTGCATGTGTGCAAGTGCTCCGTGGTGTATGGTGCAATGTTGATCACGTCAAATGATTTCAGCGGTTCGTGCAGGTTTGCAGCAATGCGAGGTGTTGTTTTCAGGATCCCAGCCATACCCTTGCTGGACAACAGGGTTCGGCCTTTCGGACGTCTCACATAAAACAAGTCTGATCATCGCGGCTTGCTGAAATTAATGGATGATGTGTGCATTTGGAAAAAATCAACAGTCCCATCCGAATTCGTTGCGTTGATGTTGACCTCCGAATTCGTTTGCGCTTGTATTGATTGTCGCGGGCATTTGCAAGAACCAGCTTTGTGTTTGCCGCCGGTCGACGCCCACTGCATTTTACGTTGCGTGTTGTTGTGTGGGCATTTGTAATCGAGAGCTAATTGTTGTAGCCAGTCAAAACCCTTCAGCATTCTGCATTGCCTGTTGTGTTGTGGTCATTTGCTTCGAAGCTGCAGATAGCCGCGGCAGCGAGCTGCGTGTCCAGCCCATGATACATGCGAGAAGCAAGCTCTGATTGGACATATGTGCAAGCTTGCACACCCGGAACAACAGGAATCGCAAGGCCGGGCCACACTCCTTGCACGCGCGACGGCATTTTCAGCGCGGCGAGTCGAAACAACTCCTCGCCACCGCAATGCCTCGTGGAGAAACTCCCGAGCCGGTAGCGGAACTCGACCCAAACGTCGAGTCCGAGCGCAAGGCCCGCCCGAGGCACGAGTCGCGCCGCCTGCCGAGTTGTTTCAGTACCAACCCGAGCGCTTAGATCAGCTCTCTGCCCACGCGGTTGGTGAGGCCCAACGGGGTGGGGCGGCTGGTCTGTCCGGTATAAGAGCCGAGCACTTGGAGCCGCTTTTGCTAGACATGGAGGCGCTGCCGGCCACCAACCTCGCGCAAGGCATCGTCCCCGCAGACATTGTCACCGGGTTGGCAATTGCGTGTTTTTCCGCAAATTCGACGCAGGGGTGTGCGGCATGCGATGTTTTTGGCCGCCTCTGGCCAAGGAATGGGCGCAAATTTTTGACAACGCTGCTCGGCCATACCAGCTCGGGGACGGATGCACTCGCCGCCAAGTGTGCACGCGTGCTGTCATTACGCCCAGGCGCGGTCTTCGTGTCGCTAGGGCCGCAGCGTCCTGCGCAGCTTTCCTCGGCAAGCTTCGCGAGGTCGCGCCAGAGCTCCCCCCCTTCGCGCAGCCATTTTACGGCCAGCCCTCCAGCTACTGCTGGTGGGACGCGACGCGGGCGTGTCGGGCCGTGCCGCAAGGCGAAGGGCGATGCTTTTGCCTTAGCACTATGCGCCTGCGGCCAGCATGAAACGTTCTGTCAAGTCGCGTCCGAGCTGCACCGCGACGATGCTTTGCTGGCCTTCCTCGACGACCTTGTTTGGTTATACTGTCTGAGAACGGGCCGGGGTTGCCCTAGACAGCACCAGACGCGCCGTCGAGAGCTATTGCGGCATTGCTTCCAACTTCGGCACCGCCGCCAGTCATTGCTGAGCTGGGAGCTGCGGTGTGGCGAGGGGACAAGCCACCTGCCGAAAGAGCACTGGTTGTGCTCGGCACTCGGACACACCCTCAGCGCTTCCCGGGCAACCCGCACCCAAGCTGGCTCCACCGCGACCTTGGTCCGCGTAGCAAAGACTCCAGTGCGCGGGCACGCGAAGGCGTGATCGCGAAAGGGGTCTACTGTTCCGACAGCCATGGGCCATGGGAGCTGCTATGCCACGGCAAAGGCTGTCGCAGGCGGCGCCTCAAGGCGATCTGCATAGCATGCGGTGGGAGCGTTGTTGCCGGCTCCGTCGAGAAGGCTGCGGCATGTTGGGCAGCAGCACGTGTTCATAGGTATATCCCACACGCACAATGGTAGCGAACGCGGCAGAAAACGCTGGCAGAAGCAAGCGACGTCTGAGCAAGAGGATGGGTCACAAGAACGGTAGATTTAAGAGGAAAGTTCGGGCAGGGTGGGACGGGTGGTGAGAACGCGTGCCCAGCCTGCGAGTCCAGCGCGGCGGGCGAGGCAGCGTCGGTTTACGGCTTGGGACGCTCTGCACGGCTGTCCGTGAATGAGGTCCAGGGATGGGATGGGACCCCACCATATTTTATATCAGACCTGCCTGGGCTCCCTCGTGCACAGCGGCGATCAGCTCCCAGCTGCTGCATTACGGACATCGCAGCTTGCCTTGGGTTCGGCGGTCTCGGGCTGCGCTCGGCAATCGCCGACGGCTATGCCGCGTACTAGGCTTCTTGGCTCGACGCACTGCCAGCAATCCGAGCTCGCTCACCGCAGATCGCCGACAACCTCCTGCATGCGCTCGCCGCACCCCTGCCAGTGGCTCCCTTGCCGTCGCAGCGGCCGCGCAAGCCGCCGACCAGCTCACCGCTCAAGGCTCCACGTCCCCGTTTGGGATAACCCAGAACCAGCGCACGCACCTGTCCACGACCAGCCAGGGCACCGTCTCGGCAGCGGCACGCCGCCCGCGCCTGTGACCAGCGCGCGTTCGAGATGCATTTCGCCACCTTGCCTTCCGCGTCCCGAGCGCTGCTGCTGTCCCAGGCCGGGCCACATGCCGCCTCCTGCTTTACAGTCCGCCCGACTCACGAAACAGTCACCATCCCGCCAGCAGGCTTTCGGGTACTTCTCCTCCGCAGCCTGCGCTTCGTTAGCGCTGCCGTTTGCGCCCCGGCTCTGTTCCTGCCGTGGTCTGCTTGACCCGCTCGGTGACCACCGCGCAGCCTGTGAGACCTCCGGGGCCCTTGCCTCGCGTGCCCTCCCGCTTGAGCGAGCCGTAGGCGTGCACCTTGCAAACATGAGCCTCTCCACCCCAGTGCCCGGCGCACGCCGGATAGAGATCGTCTGCAACGGCTTGCCTCTTTGGCATGGGGCTCAGCTTGCAGTTGACACCACCTGCGTCAGCCCAGGCACTCGCTCCGGCGAGCCGCGGCCAAGAGCTGATAGTCAACCCTGCCTCGCCCTGTAGCAAGCCACGAGGCCTAAGCGACGCGACACGTACCCCGAGCTTGCACCTCGTGGCGTTCGCTGTCGACTGGGGCGTGCGCACGCTGCCGTTCGGTCGGCTTTGCGTGCGGCCTATGTGTCTCGCTGGAGCAGCATCATCGCCGTCCAGCCAAAAGGCCCTCGCCAGCTCCTTGCTGGAGCTCCCTCTCGACACCGTCGCCTCTGCTGCCGGCCAGCCGGCTGTGCATGATGTCCTGCAGGACGAACGCTGGCTGCACGCCCCTGCCCTCACCCGGCTCCCGCTGCGGACCTAGGCTGACGCCGCCATGTAGACCTGCAGGTGCACAGGGATCGCGCTCGTGCTGGTCGCAAAAAGTGTGCATTAAAAAAAAGCAGTGCTGTTGGTCTCAGCTCAAGCAATGCACAGATACACACAGCTTCGACGGAGCAAATGTTTTCACCCGGTCACCTGAGCCAAGGCATTGCCAAGGCAAGTCTGCAAAAGGCATGTCTGATGCAATCACTCTAGAGTGACTCTGCGTGACATGCGAGGCACGTTCAGTGAGCAAGTACTTAAACTGCCCACACAACGC